GAGCAGGGAGCCCGATGCGGGGCTCGATCCCAGGACCCGGAATCATGACCTGAGCCGAAGGCAGACGCTCAACAACTGAGCCACCCAGGCACCCTGCCATTTAAATTTCTAATTACCATCTAATTTCTAAGTGTACAGTTCTGTGCTGTTAAGTATATTCGTATTGTTGTGCAACCAACCACCAGAACTGTTTTACCTTGCAAAACTGAATCTCTGTCTCCATTAAATAAAACCCCCCAATCCCCCTGCCCCTGGTAACCACTGTTTTGCTTTCTGTCTCTATGAGTTTGACTATGGTAGGCACCTCACATGAGTAGCATCTAGAGCATTTGTCTTTTGTGGTTGGCTTCTTTCACTTAGCATCATGTTCTTGGGTTCATGCATGTTGTAGCAATTGTCAGAAAGTCGTTCCACTGTATGGGTAGACCACACTTTGCTTATCCATTCATTTGCTGATAGAACATTTGGGTTGCTTCCACCTTTTGGCTAGAAGTGAATGATGCTGCTATGAACATGGGTGTACAAATATCTTTTCCAGATCCTGCTTTCAGTTCTTTTGGATATATACCCAAAAGTGGAATGGCTGGATCATATGGTTATTCTATTTTTAATTTTTTAGGAACCACCATACTGTTTTCCACATCGGCTTTTCTGGGTTTTGTTGTTGTTTTTGTTTTAATAATAGCCATCCTGATGGCTGTGCAGGGTGTTACCTCCTTGTGGTTTGATTCGCATTTCTCTAATTAGTGATGTTGAGTATCCTTTCATGTGCCTCTTGGCCTCTTGCAGGGTCATCTGAAAGGCTCTCCCTGACGGCCAGGTCTAGAGAAAGCCAACTTTTGAATTACATGGGTTTTAAACTCTGTGGGTCCACCTGGATTTATTTCGGTAAGTACAGGACAGTCCTGTAAATGTATTGTCCTTACGATCTTCTTAATCACATTTTATTTTCTCTAGCTTACTTTATTGTAAGAATACAGTATATAATACATAGAACATACAAAATATGTGTTAATCGATGTTTTTATTATTGGTAAGGCTTCCGGTCAACAGCAGGCCATTAGTAGTTAAGGTTTGGGGGAGTCAAAAGTTATACGTGGATTTCTGACTGTGTGGGGAACTGGCGTCCCTAACTTCCGTGTTGTTCAAGGGCCAGCTGTAATTAAAAATTAATAGCAGAATACTTTACAAACCAAGCAGAAGATCTAGAGGGCAGCAGGGACCACCCTACTTGAGATTTCTGTAGAAGTTGCACACTAATAGAATCTTAGAGCAAACCTGCCCGGCACTGGGCTAGGCTCATTTCATCATCTCAACAACTCTTTGAGGAGTCTATTTTTACCTTCCAGGGTGCAGCAAGAGCTAGCCTGGAGGGTGGGGCGGAGGATTGTATTCCCTTCCGCCAAAATCTCCTGTAATGCTTCTTCACCCACTCACCACCGTGAATAAACATTTCACCTAAGTTTAAAAACAAAACAAAAAAAGTATGTTCTTATGCAAACACAGATTCAAAACTAGTGCCTGGGTACCACCCTTCCTGCAACCAGACTGTTTTCTAAAGACCTTTAACTCCTAGAGATGAAGTCACTGACCCAAGGTTGCAGGCATTTAAGTCAAACTGGAAAATCTCCAAAATCCTTGCTGTTTTGGTACATGATTTAAGGGTAAGAACACTTGAAAATAATGTGGAGAACACGAAGAAAGCTATACTGAGTGTACCACTCAGGAAATAAATGGTGCCACAGGTATTCAGGAGGAGAATAAAACTCACTCTGCTTGATGTATCAAAATAGTGATGAAGGGGCAGAAGGCAAGCTGAGGACAAAGCACAAGCTGACACCCCGCTTTCCGCCCCCTCCTGCCCCCCCACTCCCAGGTGGGACAGGTGGGACATTTCTCAGGCACTCCTGGCTGCCCTAACGCTAAGGGAAGGGGAAAAAAATGGTTAGCTAATAGAGATCACAGTCCTGCAGGACATGGGTCTCCGTCAGCTTACAAAATGTCTTCGTGATTCACAAGAAAAAAAGCGTTCTTATCAATAAAAGCATTCTTGTCAATAACCTAACTTCCAGAAGGAAGCTCCCAACTGTCTTAATGCTATGCTTTACTAGAGGGAAAAACTTGACAATGACAAGGCCTCCAATATCTTGTAGGTTGTCCTCTTTTAGCATAAAAAATTCTTTTGAAAACCTCCCTTTTGGGGCACCTAGGTGGCTCAGTCGTTAAGCGTCTGCCTTCAGTTCAGGTCATAATCCCAGGGTCCTGGGATCGAGCCCCGCATCGGGCTCCTTGCTCCGCGGGAAGCCTGCTTCTCCCTCTCCCACTCCCCCTGCTTGTGTTCCTGCTCTCACTATCTCTCTCTCTCAAAAAAAAAAATAAAATCTTTAAAAAAAAAAAAATAGACAACATCCATTGATGCTTAAGATGTGCTAGACCCTGGACTAGGCACTTTTCATGCATTATCTCATCTAACCTTCACACCATTCTTGGGAAATACTTTCATTTTTCCCAGTTTACATTGAGGAAATAGGGATTTGGAGAGATTAGGCAACTTGATCAAACTTATGTACCAGCAAGTAGCAACTGTGAGGTTCAAGTCAAAGACTGCTTAACTCCACAGCCCAGTTGACTACAACACTCTAGACTTTGCGTGCAGTAGATGCTCTCTCTCTATGGACTTGCCTATTCTTGACATCTCATATGAATGGAATCATACAATAGGAGGTCTTTTGTGACTGGCTTGATTTAGCATAACTTCCCAGTAATGAGTTATGACATCTGTGAAATGTTGTCTATGAGAGAAGCTCATTAGAGACTGTGCTAAAGGTTTTTAAGGGGGCTTGTCATGAAGGCACCTTCTGCCTAATGCATACCAAAATTCCATACTCCCAGGATGAAAGCCGATAAACTATGTTGTTTGCATAAACAATTAAGGCACACTGAGCTACTCTTATCAGTTGGGGTGGTGGAACCCTCCCCAAACACAAATTCCCAGATCCTAGCCAAGGGCCAACCTTGGAAGCAGGATTTTCAAATGATAGTATCCCTGGGCCTGCTATGTTAACTGTTTTGTGCACAGATTTTGATAGGATTTATGCTGATCTATAGATCAGTTGGAAATGTAAGATGGAGAATATCACCATCTTAACCATATTGTTACAATTTTTGAACACATGATGTCTTTCAATTTATTTACATCTTAATTCCTCTCAAAGATATTTTGTAGTTTTCAGTGTGCAAGTCTTGTTTTTCTTTTGTTAAAGTTATTTCTAAGTATTTTCTACTTTTTGATGTCATTGTAAGTGGAATTAATTTCTTAATTTCATTTTTGGTTATGTCTTACAAATGTATATAAATGCAATTAGTTTTTTTCTTAAGATTTTATTTATTTGAGAGAGAGAGAGAAAGAGCGCAAATGAACGCTGAACAGGGAGCCTGATGCAGGGCTCCATCCCAGGACCCCCAGATCACAACCTGAGCCAAAGGCAGCCACTGAACCAACTGAGCCACCCAGGCACCCCACAATTGTTTTTTGTATATTGATCTTGTATTCTGCAACCTTGAGCTGTTTATTAGCTCTAATAGTTGTGTGTGTGTGTAATCTTTAGCCTGTTAATATGGTGGATTACATAGATTGTCTTTTCTGAACAAGCCTTGCATCCCTGGAATAAACCCTACTTGGTCATGTTATATAATTTTTATGTAGTGCTGAATTCTGTTTACTAGTATCTTGCTAAGGATTTTGCATCTATTTTTACTTTGCGTATTTTTTAATCAGCTTATTTAGGGTTTTTTTTTAATCATTGCATTGTAGGAGATACATATACACCTCTCCTACTACATATATATATATATTCATTCTGGATTTTAACCCCTTATTAGATATGACTTGCAAATATATTCACTCATTCTGTAGGCTGCCTTTATACTCTGTTAATTGTGGTCTTAGATGCACAAGTTTTAAATGTTGATATAGTCCCGTCAACTATTTTTTTCTTTTGTTGCCTGTGCTTTTGAAGAAATTATTGCTAAATCCAGTGACATAAAGCTTTTCCCCTATGTCTTCTTCTAAGAGTTTTATAGCTTTATGTTTTAGATCTATTTTGAGTTAATTTTTATATATGGTGTAACACAAGGGTCCACCTTCATACTTTTACGTGTGGGTATCCAATTTTTCTAACAACATTTGTTGAAAAGACTGTCCTTTCCCCAAAGAATGGTCTTGGCACCCTTTTTGAAAAGTATTTGACCGTATTTGCAAGAGTTTATTTCTGGGCACTCTATTCTATTCCTTCATTCCTTTTTATGGTAGAATAATATTCCATTGTGTGGATATACCATATTTTATTTATGGCAAGCTTAACATTTTATCTCATTTAATCACTGGGTGTAGTCACATCTGTGATTTATGGATTACTGAGCCTTTGCCCAGAAACCTGGTTTTGATCATTAGAACATTGTACCCTCTGAAAATAGTGTCTATTTTGTTTGCTTGCTTTGGTTTTTGCTTATTTTATCCTTGGCCACTCAACATGGGGTTGCTGGAATCTCAGTGTGGAGAAAATCAGGTACATCTACCACAAAGAAAGCTAGCAATATATTCCTGGGAAAAATAGACAAGCTCCATTGCTAAGTTTTCTACCTATGACTATTAGAAATTTCTAATCACGGCGCGCCTGGGTGGCTCAGTCGTTAAAGGGTCCTGGGAACTAGCCCCACATCGGGCTCCCTGCCTGGCAGGAAGCCTGCTTTTCTCTCTCCCCCTGCTTGTGTTCCCTCTCTCGCTGTGTCTCTGTCAAATAAATAAATTAAATCTTAAAAAAAAAAAATTCTAATCAAACCTAAAATAATTCGTTTTGTAATCCACGCTGCTAATATTCTAATACCCTATCCGTAGAATGCTTTCTAACTTTCAAAGCAGAGAGTGATTTTTGACTTGTTTATTACTCCTTCCAACCCAACCCATGTGCTACGTGTGTCCCACACAAGTTTAATGTTTGGAAGACAGAATGACGAATACCAGCTACCATTTTTTGAGTACTTCCTAAGTACTCTTGTCACACACATTATCTCATGACCTCATCTTAATATGTTCCTGCAGCAACGTTAACCACTTAGGTGCTGTTATTCACTGAGCAGGAAATTGAGGGTTAAGTAATTTGCCAAGGCTGTACCGCTGAGTTAAGGGGAGGAGCCCAGGAATCCGCAAAGGGCACAGCGCAGGGATTCTCCATTTTATTGAGAGTCAGATTCCGGAGGTCCCGGCGACAATGGGCCCGGGAGTTTTGTGCAACCCAGGTCTCTTGACTCCCACGCGCAGACACCAAAAACTGTCCTCTGTTTTGCCGCAGACCCGGATCTTCCTCCACGTAGAATGCAAATTCTATGGCTGAAAAGCTTGAGCATAGAAAGGAAAAAGTTGTGTGCTTTTTACCCTCTTTCCCAGACTGGCGGTGGAAACTCCACCCCCCGTCTCCATGGAAACCCGGCAGCGGTGGCGGCTGTCACCAAGGGCGGGGCTCCGGAGGCCGCCCCTCCCCCACCCGGTTTGCAATACTCCCAGCCGGGGGCCATCGCTGTCACCCCTTAACCTCTCCGTTCCTCTTCTCGGCTGTCCTCCCTTTCTGTTGTCTTCTCGTGCCCCAAACCACATCCTGGGGGCCTCCCTCCTGCACGGTCCTCAGCGGGGCCGGTGCACCCCGCGTCCGGGCCTGGAAGCTCCCGAGCGCCTCTTTTCTGCCCCGGGCCCACCCCTCGGCTGCGCTGATTGGCCGCTCCTGGGCCATCCCCTCCCGCCCCGGGCAGGCAGGGTCTCTACCTCGCGGAAAGTTTTCTGCGCCAGGAGGAAGTTGGAAGTTTGGGGACCCTGAGAAAGCTGCTCCTGCGGCTGCGGGGGTCTGGGTGGCCATGGAGGAGCCCCCTTTGCGAGAGGAGGAGGAAGAAGAGGAGGAGGAAGGGGACGAGGCTGGGCCCGAGGGGGCTTTGAGCAAGAGCCCCTTCCAGCTGACGGCCGAGGACGTGTATGACATCTCCTATGTGATGGGGCGCGAGCTGATGGCCCTGGGCAGCGATCCCCGGGTGACACAGCTGCAGTTCAAGATCGTCCGCGTCCTGGAGATGCTGGAGACGCTGGTGAATGAGGGCAACCTGACGGTGGAGGAGCTGAGGATGGAAAGGGACAACCTGAGGAAGGAGGTGGAGGGGTTGCGGACAGAGGGCTCTGCGGCCGGCGGGCAGGTGAGTGCCGGATTCCGGGCCCTGCGGGGGCATCCTGGGCTGCGTGGGAGGGCAGCTCCCAGTGGCCCGGAGGCCGCTCTCCCAGGAATATCCGAGCCCCTGAAAACGACCACAGCGCCCACCCAGTCCTCAGATGAGAAGCATCCTCATACATTTATCGAGCACTTACTAGGTGCACTTACCGGGCTGCGTTAGTTCTGAATCAGGGGCTTTGAGCCTTTTTGACTTGACCTAGCTCAGTGGCTCTCAAGCTTTAGCCTGCAGCGAAACCACCCGGAGTGTTCGTTAAAGCCCAGATTGCAGGGCCCTGGCCCCAGAGTTTCTGATTCAGCAGGTCTGGGGTGGGACCTGAGAACCTGCATTTGTGACAAGTGCCATCGCATTCTGAGAATCTTGACCTAGAATAAGAAGTAAATTTTAAGTGAGAGAAATCAGTTCTGTGACCACCAAAAGACGCCTATAAGAATATTCAGAGCACCTTTATTCAGAATTGTGCCAAACTGGAACAAGTGCAACAGAATGGATATTAAAACTGTGGTATAGTCACATGGTGGAATACTACACGGTAGTGAAAAAGAGCAGAGTGCTGATACACACAAGTGTGTGCGTGACTCTCACAGACGTTACGCTAAGCGATAGGAGCCAGGCACAAAAGAGAGCCTACTATATATATTTATGGGAAATTCAACAACAGGCAAAATAATCTGTATTTATAGAAGACTGATGGTAGCTCCAGTTTTTGGGGGGGGGAGAGTTCATAGGGAGCGCATCTGGGTGTGATTACATAGGTGTGTACCTATGTTAAAAATCATCAAGGGGTGTCTGGGTGGCTCAGTCCATTAAAGGTCAGATTCTTGGTTTTGGCTCAGGTCATGATCTGAGGGTGTGGGATCCACCCCTGGTCCAGCTCTGCACTCAGTGGGGAGTCTGCTGGAAATTCTCTCTCTTTCCCTCTCCCTCTTCCTCTGCTCCTCCTGCTGCTCATGCGTGCACTCTTTCTCTCTCTCTAAAGTAAATAAATAAAATCTTTTTTAAAAAAGTCATCAAGCGGGGCGCCTGGGTGGTTCAGTCGTTAGGTGTCTGCCTTTGGCTTAGATCATGATCCCAGGGTCCTGGGATCGAGCCCCATGCTGGACTCCTTGCTCAGTGGGGAGCTTGCTTCTCCCTCTGGCTGCCAATCCCCCTACTTGTGCTGTCCCTCTCTCTCTGACAAATAAATTAATTAAGATAAAAGCTTGAGGAAGTGAAGAGATATTTTTAAAAAATCATCAAGCTATAAACTCAAGATTAGGCATGTATGTTATACCTCCATTTTACAAAATTACCCATTATATTGCTTTCCATATTGATGAAACAAAAGTTTTAAGAAACAATTTATCTTAACTCACCCTTATTAAATATGATGCACAATCATACTTGCATATTCTTTTTTTTTTTTTTTTAAGATTTTATTTGTTTGGGGCGTCTGGGTGGCTCAGGCGTTAAGCGTCTGCCTTCGGCTCAGGTCATGATCCCAGGGTCCTGGGATCGAGCCCTGCATCAGGCTCCCTGCTCAGCGGGAAGCCTGCTTCTCCCACTCCCCCTGCTTGTGTTCCCTCTCTCACTGTGTCTCTCTCTGTCAAATAAATAAATAAAAT